TAGATAGATAGATAGATAGATAGATAGATAGATAGATAGATAGATAGATGATAGATAGAGGCAGACATCAGGGTTTGCCCAGTGAGAGTAAGTACTGTGGTGTGACAGGTTAGGAAACAAGCTACCAGCACACATCCTGCCATAGTCATGGAAGCTGAAAGTATAATCTTTACTCAGAGGCTCTCAAACATAAATTGTCAAATGCAAAAATGAGCACTAATCAAGAATCACCAACATCTGAGGAAAGCAATACCCATGAAGATCAGAAAGCAGTTCAACTAATAAGAACTAACACCTAAAGAGTTAGGAGAAGAAAACTTACATTCAGTTTAATTACTCTTCTGAGGGAGATTTGAGAAGATATTACTTCCTAGAAAAACACAAGACCTTGAAATAAATAAAATTGGACATTAATAACAATAAGATGAAAAATACATATTTGTTGAGTTGAATATTTTAAAACACTCTTTAAATCATTCTTAGGTTAAAAAGGGAAAATTAAAATTACAAATTATTTTAAAAATAAACAACAATGAAAGTACCAGATAGCAAAACTGTGGAGGGAAATAAACCCCCAAAAAGTAGAAGACAGAAATTAATAAAGTAAAAAAAGAAAACATAAACAACAGGAAAAAAAAATAAGCTGATTAATACAATCAAAAGCTGATTCCTTCAGAGGACTAATATAATAACAAATTAACAGGTGTAGTTGGTGGGGGGGGGGGCACCAAAAAGTAGCATTAAGCTAAATGGAGACGATATAGATACAGAGATTATTAAATCATAAGAAAATAATACTTTTTCTAATAAATTTGAAAATCTAGATGAAAGGAATTACTCTGTTAGGAAATACAAATTGTCTAAAGCAGTTCAAGGAAAGGTAGAATTTCTGAATAAGCCACCAATAACCAGGGGAAGATATTGAAAAGGGTATTAAAATACTCCTTTTCAAAAGACGCCAGGTCCAGGTTTTGCTAAGGAGTTCTACCAAAGCTTTAGGTAATAAAGCAAACGCAGCAACAAGGAAGAGCTATAAAATACCTAGGAAAAAAGCTTACTAATATTTTTTTAAAAACCTACGGAATGTGGGGATGAACACCTACCTGTGGGTATCAGAGCAGACAGAAGTCAGGCAGGTAGAACAAAGGCTGCAGGCAATCATGGCGTGGGAGTCCAGTTCAGACTCCAGATCAGAAACCTGTAGCTGAGAAAGCTAAGTACTTCATCCTAAGTCACAGTGGAAGATGAGACTGGAGTGGTTCGCAGGAAATCTACCCTTGGAGCTCAAACCCCAAGTTCTCAGGGTCTCCTGGATATCTCCAGGGACGTGCTCTGCATGGGCTTCAAAATTCCAGCTATCAAAACCCAAACGGTGTGTACCTTTCATTCTTATCAAAGAATTACCATCTCAAAATTTAAAAAAAAAAAAAATCTACCGAATGACATAGAAGAAGGTCTAGACACACCATATTTTAAATTGGAAAGCTTAATGTTATAAAGACGTCAATTCTTCCCACATTAATCTGTCAATACAATTCATTTCCAAGGATAATTCCAGCTTAAGTTTTTATGGAATTTTTAAAGAATGAGAAATACACTGAAAATCTTTTCAACCCTCAAGTACTATTTTGCAAAAAGAAACAAAATTATACATATATAATAAGTAAAATATACTTATTACATACCTCATTCTCTGTATGAATGCATCAGGTATGTATTACTTCATGTAACTAATGCAACTCTATAAGACGCCTTCAGTTATAAGAAGCACCATTGATTTCTGTACCACTAAAAAAGGAAAATTTCCACCATTTAATCTACACATCCCAATTTTAGAGCCAATAAAACTAAAAAGAAAACATGTCTTAGAATCAATGAAGGATGACATTACCACATGGTATAGGCATTCAGAGATTTAAGCCAGTTCCCCTCTGTTGGTTTCCCCTGTGCCCTGGCTTGGAAATGTCTTGTGTGGATTATGTTTCCCCCTCCCATTCCCATGCAACACTTAGAGCTGGTTTTGTTTGTTCATTTGTCTTTAATTACCCATGTGCATAAAAACTACACCATGCTTTTCCTACTAGAAGCATCCAGTTTACTTGAGTGACTCCAGAAAGGCCATGACCATTTAGAGGACTGGGCTCTCTGTGTTTAAAGGCAATTCTCATGATTCATGTGATGTAAAGACAGGACCTCTCATTCAGCTAGACTATTTCTTGTCTTTCCCGCTTATCGAAAACATCTCAGGGTTTGGGGGAGACTGAATGGGAACACTTGACAAGAAAAGCAGTATTCCTGAGTAGAAAGAACATGTAATAGAGACACAGAGGCCTTGTTTCCTTAGCAGAAAAAGCACTAAATAGAGACCCAGAGGCCTCATTCTAGCTGTGATCTTCTCTCTGGTCCACCAGGATTGGTGACAGCCTGTGAGGAGCAGCAGCTACAGCCTCCCTCCTAGAGGACCTCTGCTCCAAGCCCCATGCTACAATGAGGAAACTGAGGCCCTGACAAAGAAAGTGACCAGCACCCATCACACAGACCGTGGGAAGAGCATGGGCTCTGGGGTCTGCCCCAGGCCTGGGTGGGCTCAAGCCCAGCTCCACCATTGGATGTCAGTGCAAGTTTGGGCAGGTCCCTTAAACGCCTAGAAAAAGAGGTGTAATGACCCTTCCCTTTAAGTGGTAAGGATTAATGAATACCTGACATGTAGCCTGCATAAAGACCCTAGTCAATTAATAGCACTTAATATTTACTACTGCAACTCCCCACCATTTACCCTGGTTATGTCTGCTCAAGCTGTGCAGACTAAGTCTGACTCCTCTTCAGCACGGCAGCCCTTCACATGAGTGAGGAACACAGTCTTGTCCCCTAAATCTTACCCAGACTAAATTACACAGTCTCTTCAATCCCATTTTTTTGTGACAGGATTTTTTTGATACACAATGGACCCAGCTATGCTCATCAAAAAATTACTTTTCTAAATGTTTCTTTTAAAATGATACAAACTACCGAAGAGTCAACATAGAAAGGAAAAGTGACAGATCATGAAAATATATTTGAAGCATACATCAGTGGGAGGATTACTATCTCTCTAGTATTTAAATGGGAAAATAATTCTATACTATACACTACATAATTTTTAAAAATTTAAGAACCCAATTTATAACTGGACAAAGTGTATAAACCCAAAATTTACACAAGAGGATTTACAGCTAGCAAACAAGTAGCTAGAGAAATGACCAACCTCATTAATAAAGAAATAAAGACTAAACATGATTACAAGGGGCCATTCTATATACAAAAATTAGTAAAGAAAAAATGGTTTTGTCAGGATAATATCTAGTGTTAGTGAGGATAGAGGCAAACGGGTGCATTCAGAAGTACAGATGCTGGGATAAATTTATACAACTTATTTATAAGAACAATTTGGCAATATATATAGAGAGCAATAATAAATGTTTATATTCTGATCCAATAAAGTCAATTCTGGAAGTTTAACTTTAAACATGAACACATTTTATATTGTTTGTAAAAAAAAAACGCTCAAATGGTAAACTATAAAAGATTAGTTTAAAAAGTTAGGCTACATTGTCTAATACAATAGTTTAAAAGTCACTGAGAAACAAATACTATATGCTTTCACTTATATGTGGAATCTAATGAACAAAATAAACTAACAAAATAGAAACAGACTCATGGACACAGAGAACAGACTAACAGCTGTCAGAGGGGAGGGGGGAGGGGCGCTGGGTAAAAGAGGTGAAGGGATTAAAAAAATCCTCATAGACAGACAGCATGGTCAGTACCAGAGGGAAATGGGGGTAAAGGGAGAGAATAAAGGGGGATAAATGGTGATGGAAAGAGACAACTTGGGGTGGTGAACACACAACACAATATATCGATAATGTTTTATAGAATTGTACCCTTAAGTATGTATCATTTTTTTAACCAAAGTAACCCCAACAAATTCGATTTTTAAAAAAAATCCTTGAGAACATGACAATTATATATAATTTACATTAAACATTTAATAAACAGTTAATATTAAGGTTTTTTTTAAAGTAAGCTATAAAATTGTATATGTCTTATGCAACTACGTCTTAAAGAAAGGGACTCACAAGAAAAAAAGCCATAAATAAACACACCAAAGTGCAAATAACTGTTTTACTGGGAGAGTGGGATAATGTTTATTGTGTTTTCTCTGTAGCTCTGGTAGCTCAGGTGACTGCACTCTGGCATATTCTGGGTCCCAGTGCTCTCTAGGAGGCTGCAACTGCAGAAACAGCTAACCTCTCTGCAGGAAAACTCAGCTCAGCGAATCTTTGCTTTGACAAAGAAATTCATCAAAAAGATTTTTAAAATAATAGTAATGCATTTATTTCTAAAGCAAGTATTGCCCAAAACAATTTTCCTAAGACCACTCGACTCTAGTATCTGGAGGCTGGTTAAAACCTATCAGTTTGTGAGGGCTGCATATATATTTGTGTAAAAAGATGTCATGGCTATTTTCACTTGGGAACACATCTTGCAGTTGAAATGATAAATCTGTGCTGTTTTTACCAGAAGAAGATAAAAATATTAAAAGGACAGCCAGTGTAGTATCTTGTTAGGAATAGCTGCCCAAACAGCTCCTTGAGAACATTTTGCTTTATTTCATCTGCTGGCTATGGTGGAGAGGGTCTCCCCTCTAATCCCGATTCTGACGGTAATTACCTATAAGACTTTGAGCAAGTTATTTAATTTATCTAAGCCTCAGTTCTCACATCTGTAAAATGGGAATGAATCCTCGATGTGGACTCAGATTGTAAGGAATAAATGAGAAAAAGTGTAATTTCAAGGACTTATTAAAGCATACCAGGAACAGAAGGAATTACGAGGTAGGTGGTTGGACATCCTACCCCACTCCCCTACCAACCCACAGGTTCCTGAGAGAAATACAGACGTGGGGCGAGGTCTGGCAGAAGAGCACCTTCCATAACTATGAGGCTGGGAACTCTAATGCAGACTGGGCACGTGCAGAACTCCTTTGTCCAGACAGTCTCGCGTGGGTTCGAAGCGCAGTGAGTGGCCTCCTTTGCCCCTTCCCTGTCAGCCCCCATGAGAACCCCAGATCCTACAGCTCAGGCAGGAAGGACAGGCCAATGCAGAAAGCGCACAGGCAAATAAGAGTCCGTATGCACAGCAGCCGGGGCAAGAGAGCCTCTGCGGGCCAGCGCCCAGGACAGCTGGTCTGGACCCCACGGGCTGGGCGGCCAAGGCAACCCTGGCCTGTCTCACCCTCACACAGCACAGAGCAAGGTGCTCAAGGACCTCACAGGCTGGGCGGCCAAGGCAACCCTGGCCTGTCTCACCCTCACACAGCACAGAGCAAGGTGCTCAAGGAGCGCAGGAGAGCAAGAGAGAGGTGATGACTTCAGTGCTCCCTGAGCGAGGGACCTCAACGCTTTCGGAAGAAAGATCCCAAGAAACTAGGCCCATATGTAAGCCCTGAACTCTAAAATGCTTCAAACAGCGGATGCTCCCCTCCCTGGTCCAACAGAACCTGTTCAGACATGAGCGATCCATAGTGAGGCTCTTCCTACGTGAGGTGCAGAGAATGAGGCTGCTGTGAGGACTGCAGATTGTCACCAGTGGCTTCAAAACTCCCAGCTGAAGCATGTCAGCCTTTTCCTGCTGGGGCCTGGACTGATCCAAAGACGTCCAGAGAGAAATAAAGAAAAGACACCTCACTCGTACAGCAACAGAGAGAAGATACAAAATCCCGCTCCTGAGGCCCCGGATCCTGAATGTACTCACTATTCAGGCTCCACCATGCCAAGGCTACAAGGGATCCCCTCGTCCCCTGAGGCGAGGCCTTGTCTTTCACCTTCCAGGGCTGGCCTCCCGTGTCTATCTTCCTCATTAGCATATGTCTCTTCTATAAATGCCTTGTCTTCTTGTTCTCATACCACCTTCAGTGGCCAGGAGGCTGGAGGAGGCTGGGGCAGTGCCAGCTCTGTGGGCCACTGCATATGGAAATCCCACCTGGCTGCCGCCACCAGTAACTGGGTGCTTGGCTCCATCAGAGGAGGAGAGAACCACGCAGAGCCCAATGCGGACTCAGACCGGGGCCCACAGACTCTGCACCGTTATCTACATGGCAAAAATAAAAATAAAAATAAAAATGACGTAGGAGGGAGCAATTTAGGCCCTGTTATTAGAAAGGAAGCTCACTGACACACATTCTCTTCTAATTTAAGCACGGTCCTCTCCAGCTCTTCCTTAGTGATGATTATTTTCCCATCTTATGTCCTGCAGGAAGGACCTAGCGCACAGCCTCGCCTATGTGTGCACGGCCTCACATAGCCAGCTCCTTCGCCAAGCTGCAGTGGGAACCAGGCTCGTAGGATTCCTTTCTGTCCTGATTTCATTAATAATTTTAAACTCGTTGCTACTTATTTTTCTGTTCTTACACCTGTTCACATATTTTATCTGGGAAGCAACCTACCACATGTTGACCTATAAAATGAGAACCTGAAAACTAAAAAAACTAAACCAAGTGTCTGAATAAAACCAAAAATAATTTCAATCCCTCTTCAGAGATGCTGGAGAGGAGGAAGTGTATGCGACCACCAGTTGGACTAGGTAACCTCCAAGGTCCTTCCAGCTTTGAGAAT